TGAACTTACTTGGGTTTCGGTCATACGCCCATCATCATGACATGTCGTTCTTACACATTCCCAGAATGCACTTTAGCCACAAAAATGAATATCATAATAATGAATGAAAGAATTTTAGTCTTCTTCACGGTTCCGCCATCTTGAAAAGTGCCTTTGCATCGAAGCGAGACAACCGTTGAACGTGCAATGATAGAAACCTTCTTTCACACCTACGTACAAATATTCACAGGTATCTATCATTGCAAGCTCAACGGTTGTCTCACTTCGATGCAAAGGCACGGCTACCTTTCAAGATGGCTTAGGGAACTGTGAGGGAGACAATTGTATCGAATGAAGCCTTTGCTGCTATTTGTAAGATGTTAATATGCGATTCTAAGTTACTTTATACGTTTAACAATAATGACTGATTGTTTGTTGCGTTTCTTTCAGTTAGCTGTCGTCTATACTTGCTCACGTATCGTTATAAATATCGTGCAGTTTTACTTCATTTTGTACGTCACGGATACGTTGTATTTTAGCAAGGTAAGTCATACTGGAGTCTTCCCTGTACTAGAGAAATAAAGAGCGCTTTTCTTGACCAATCAGAGCGCGCGTAAAGCGAATCGATTTTATTATATATTACGATAAAGTTTATTGTGTATCTAACTGATTGTATGAATTTGAATTTCGCCATAGGAGTCTATTGCTTATTTTCCACTGATTCTTCTCATAACGGAACTGTTTGCTAACACTCTCATTAAGAATGTTAGAAAGATACTTGGGAATAAGGTAAGTGTAATTTGCTTCCTAGTACATCCATAGATGCTTCATCTTTGTTTGTGGCTACACCCTTCGTCACGGGGAAATTCTATTTAAAACTTCAGAAAGTGAGCTCACTACAATAACGTGGCAATTTTTTGTGCAAGTCTGCATATGTGTCGGATGAATTTCGGAATGATTTCGTCAATCTATGGTAGTATTGTTCACTGAACGTCGAGTTCGTTGATTGCTAAAAAGAAACTCGAATCTTGAACATATTTGAACTTGAAGGTTCTAGCAAGTGTGGTCAACAAGCCGCTCAAGTGCCTTGCTAATTTCAACCCCTGTTGGGTTGGCCCGTTGATACAAGCTTGTGGTTGGAAATATGCATTGCAGTATGTTGATGTGAGTGGTAATTAAGACTTTAAGCAACTGTCTCTCTCTTGTAGTGGACATTTTGTGTAGCTGCTCTCGTGGTTCTTCAATCCTGCATCTGGTTTCAGCTCCAGTCTCAAACCGCGGGTAAAAACTTCGTTTTCTTGTCTGCAATTATGATGTGCAGCGGTAGTTCAGTTATGTTGACGACATCGTTGAGTATGCTTACAGACTTGGCCAATAAAGATAAGGTGAGCGATAAAAACGGGGAAGGCTAGAATCGAGAAATGCTTTACAAAATTTGCCATGTTTTGTAGGGTTTGTTTTGAGATTTTGTTTGTATTCTTTAATAATAATAAAACTGAAATTACATGAGGCACTCTGAGACACCTGTGCTTTGTAACCATACAAAAATCAGTCTTTTAAATAGGCAAGGTGCAGTCTAGAAACGGCAAAACTACTTCTATATTTGCTTCTATATTTGCTTGAAAGCAAATACTGCTAAGGAGGACTCCAGTAGCGGACATTATTTCTTAAAACGCACTATACATGGGTCTCAATGCTTTTACAAGTCAAACTATAGCAAGGAATATATTTAATAAAATCATCGAAGTGAGGGTAAAGCGGAGCACGAAGGAAGGACATCAACCAGCCGCCGGCCCGTCAGTCCTTCGCGCAACCGTGTTAGCCCCAGAGCGCATTACAATATGAATAAGAAAAATAAGAAAACATATACATAAAATAATAGGAATCATGATTTGCTGCACAACATGGCGTCGATGCACATTTCCTATTGTTTCTATTAGGGATCCAGCGAGTTCATTTACTCAGCGTTGGGATTCTTGGAGAAGCTTTTTGTTGGTATTATCATCATTGTTATTCAGAGTAACTATCCCTGTGCTAATAATGGGTATGTATGTAGATTAGAATGACAACTGAATTTCTTGACAATGTGCATAGATGCTATTATCCCGTACAAAGCATGATGGAAATGTATATTACGCATGCGCACTTTCATATCAACGAATGGTTTATAGTCCTGTTGATAATCACTTTAAGCCCTTATTATTGTCAGTTGTTGGTAGCTATTGTTTAGAGTTTGTTCGGCTTCTTATACCTGTAATATTACCACATATACATGGTTATTCCATTGTTGTCAAGATTGCACATGCATGTATCGATACAACTATAGTATAAGCTTGTCAAATCGACTTAGTTGCTGTTGCATACATTCTCATACCAAGGGGAAAATCGAAGACTCTCCGGTGGAAACAACTCATAAGACCCAGAATATGGGCCGTATGCATACGAATGGCGAATGGGAATTTTTTTCAACTAATGAAATCAAATTCGTCTTCAACACGAGACTGCGACTTTCAAAAACAAAATATTTTTTCATAAGAATTGATTTATTTCTAATATCTTTTTTAGAGGTAAATGCCCAGAATGTGCTGACTATGTCCGGCTATTCTTCACCTTGACACCAGCCATCGTGACAATAGTTGCTCTCATAATGATCTTGTTTGGTTTTAAGACAACAGTCATGATCTCCTGCATAAATACAGGTATAGTTTTAATAATATTAGGTAAAGTCCGGCAATGAGGACTGGACGGGATTTCAAGCCCCAGCAAATATTTCCAGATCAAGGGAGCAAGGATGGCCGAGCGGTTAAAACGCCGGTCTATCACCGCTGTGGTCCTGGTTCGATTCCCGGTCCGGGACTATATGTGATTTGAGTTTGTAGGCTGGTTCTCTGCCTTGCTCCGAGGGTTTTTCTCCAGGTCCGCTGGTTTTCCTTCCTCAGTCAAAAACTAGCTGTGAGGAGTGTCGTGTAGTAAAATAATGAATGTTGAGGTAGTGAGTATGAGTGAATATATAGAGGGCCACAAGTTTATTAGTCTAAGGACTATTACGTGCTACCCTCTCAAAAACAAAAGAAAAAAAAGGCGTAGCCGAGAACTGGGACGGTTTGCAAATGACGCGATATCCTGCTCAGTCCTCCGACTTGGAAGAATTTGAACGCCTCCATATTGTCATCAAGCATTTTCTGGTGAGAGGAAGCTGCCGAGGATTATAGTAACGTAGTG